CACGTCCAAAACAAGCACTTAGCTTTTATCACTCCAGGCAGGGACTTCCATTCTTAAGACTGCTTGGGTTTAAAGTACCTCTGCCCTTAGGACAGTATTTAAACGTTTCCGCCTCTGTTGCTGCGTCTGTAAAATGAAGAAGATTGTAAATAATGCTGCTTCACTCTTTGGAATCGGATACGGTACTTTCTAAATAAAAGTTACGTTTTATTAAGTTGTTTTCACCGTTCAGTAATTCATCCCAGGAGGAAAAATGCCATCTGTCCTCTATGTGCAGGGTGTCTTCAGAAGGCTGTGTGCTTTGCGTGGTAAACTAATCAAGCTTGGGGCGATGGTTTTGTGGGATGGACTGAGAGGGGTATTCTTAGCAGTCTTCAAGGGCAGGATAGTTGAGCTACATGGCCGATAATGGGACTATGGGTGGGTGAGGTTACTGGATAACACGTCATTTTGCAACTTTGTTAGAAGGTTGTTTATCTTACATGAATGTTAGGGTGCAGCTGTGATCTGAGGGTTTCCTGTACTGAATAAACGAAATGGGGTGCAGATAGCACGGTTTTCGTTTTGAATGTCCCCTTTTGTTGTTGCTGTGAAATAACTACCCTGAGGAAAGCAAACAGACGGAGATGCGCATTATTTGGGCTTACAGTTCAAGAGCACAGTCCATTCTGGTGAGAAAGTGCTGACCACGTTTACAGTGGGTTTTCCTACAGCAATTAATGTAACCAAGAAAATATTTCCCAGGTATGACTTGGTGCAATTAGTCCCTCCCAGTTGTCAGCAGGTGCTTCTAGAAGTTACTTGATTTGAGGTCTTTTCTCATTTATGGTTGGTGTTAACCATCACATCCCACAGGGACTGGGAGGAGGTTGTGGTCCAGGGGCCATGCTATCTGGAGGTGCTGGATCCTCTAAATGTGGCATTTAGTAGAGATTTTAGGTCTTTGAGTACATGCTTGTGAAGGAAATTTTGGAGCCCTAGATTCCCGTCCATTTTCTACTCAACTTCTGAGCATGTGTTGAGCAGTTCTGGGATAGATATTTTATTTTATTTTGTTGTCTTTTTGAGAGAGGGCTTCCCTGTAGCCCCAGCTGGCTCAGACTAGCTATGTAGACCAGTCTGGCCTCAGTCTCACAGAGGTATACAACCTGTTTCTACAAGTGGAATTGTGGAATTAAAGGCTTGCACCACCACGGCCTGCTGGGATACACATAAATGTACCATAAACATATCTTTCACCCCCCAAATCAATCATACATGCAGATACAAAAATACATTATAGGTAGACATAGATACCTACATCACTCTCTCTCCCTCTCTCTCTCTCTCTCTATATATATATATATATATGTGTGTGTGTATATCTACGTGTGTGTGTGATTTGTACAGAAAGAAAGGAAGGAGAGTTATCTTAATCTTAAATTGGAATTTAGAATTAAAATCACAGCAGAAACACCAAAATTGATAACCGATGAGAAAGCCATTTTCTATGCCAAAAATACATTAGCTGCCTGATTTATAAATTCACTGGACACTTTCTAAGCCCTGGATCAGCCCTAAGGAGTAACAGTATAACTTCTAGGCATGGATATTTTCTATTTCTGAAGGCAAGCCGTCTTGCAGGCAAATGAACCAATAGCATGAGACTTTGTAATTCTACAAGAGGGCAAGCAAGAAGCAGATGATATTTGAGTTCATATGGACCCAGAAAGACACAGAGTGCAGAGAAGTGTTGTCTTAGTTACTTGTATTGGTGTGATAAAATACCTAACAATATCAGGTTAAGGAACAGTACAGCCCATCATGGAGACGTGAGACTGAGGCACCAACATTGTGTCGGTAGTCAGGAAGACAGAGGGCAATATGACACCAGCTGAGGGAATATGGTGCTGTCTACATTTAGGGTGAATCTTTCTCCATCAGTTAACATAATCAAGATAATTCCTCACAGGCGAGGCCAGAGGATAACCTCATCTAGATAATCCTTCAGGGGCATGGGCAGAACTGTGTCTCCTAGGAATTCTGGATCCTGTCAAATTGGTGGTCAATATTAACCTTCTTAAATGCTTTCAGAGAGAGAGAGAGGAGAGAGAGAGAGAGAGAGAGAGAGAGAGAGAGAGAGAGAGAGAGAGAGAGTATTTTCGCAAGGTAAAATACAAGGTAAATACATATTGACCAGTGGATAAAGTTGAAGAATTAGCTCTGCAAACAGCCTAGATAAGACCAGACACAAATAAGCTGTCTGTGGATGTCTGGAAATAGGGAGGGTTTGTAAGAGGACAAGATGTAGACTTTGAAAAGAAGAGAGGACAAATATTATTTTAAAAACAGGGACATCTGAGCCCTGCCTTGGTGGTCATCTCTGGCTGCACTGGGTCATCAGACAAAAGAGAGGGTGTTGTGCACTTGGG